AAGAGATCAGAGACTTGAGGATCAACTTGTGCAGAATCCAGAAGTCAGGAACCAAATCTGCTATTTTACCATTGAAGAAATTGCAAAAGGAAACCAGAAACCCGACACGGGTGTAGTGTCGACACGTAACCGAGGTGTTGACACCATGCGTTAAACGTTCAGAATCAGATTCTGTTTCCTATTTTGTGTCAACACGTAATTTGAAGTGTCAGCACTACGGGATCAGCATCCAAAATTCAGTTTCTTATTTCTGTTCCAAGTTCTACTTCTATTTCAATTAGGGTTTTAAAATCTTATAAATACCCATCCAAATTCAGAATTGAGGGAGTTTTGAGAGACTGGTGGCAGCCCTCTTTTGGGTATTCTTGAAGATCAAGAGAAAGGATTCAACAATAGAAGATCAAGGAGTTCAATTTCCTTAAATTGGGTTTTGTTTTTCTTTGGATTTTTATCTATTGTTTGATATTTGAATGTTCATAACTTTGATTTCATATTTTATTATTTTTATTATGAACTGATTTATTTTTATTAAGGTTATGATGTAACCTAATCAATTCAATATAGATTTTGTGATTTTATACTTTCAATTAAAATTATTCGCGTGAGGAGTTTATATTATTGAATTTAATGCATTGGGAGTCTGATCACCTTTCAATTGATTTAGTGATTTAGTGATTTATGCATGAACTTGAGAAAGAATTACGTAGATTATACCAATAATAATATAAACCGTGTGCTAGACTATAAGACCGAGAGGTAATTAGCTCACATATGTTAGTAGAGGAAGAGAAGAAAGTTAAGAGCTCCCCCTTCTTAAGCTAAAGGTTTTCATAGAATTTAATACTCATTAGTTGGTTTAAAATTACATAGAGATATGATTAATTTAACAAACTAGTGAAGGATTAATTTGACTTGAGAAAGCTAGTTAATTAATTTAGGGAAATCCGCCATCACATGCAATAACACTCAATAAATTGGTTTTGAAAGTATATTAATCCAGAATTTATATTGATTGATTATGGTGAAATCAATGCCTTAGTGCCTCCTATCTTGGTTAGGTTTATTTGTTATTTTCTTTTTATTATTTTTAATTAAAGTTTCTTCCCATTTGGTTGTTCAAATAAATTTGGATTAATTATTTTGATACTTAGTTAGATACAATTCTCGTGGGTTCGACACTCTTCTCATCATTATATTACTTGGAGCAACTAGTACACTTGCTAGGGTGATTTTAGTGCATCATGTTTCACTCCACTCTCTTGCAAAATGGCACTCAACGCTTGTATTTTGCACATTGTAGAACTTGGCTTTTCTCTCAAGTGTTGCTCACACCTTTTGCCTTTTTCCCTCACTTAACTTTCCTCTTTTAGTTTGTTATTGAACTAAACAAGCTTAATTCAAGTTATTTTGCAGCAATTTAACTCCAACGAATCTGCAACGAGAGTTAAAGAAAACAGAAAGACACGAAGGAATGAACAAGAAAAGCAATAAAAGAACCAACCCAAACAAATTAAAACAAAGAAAAAAATGGAAATTTGGTTGAAACACAATGCAAGAAAGATAAATAAGTTTTAACACTTCCTAGTAGGAATTGACTTGACTCTTCCTTAATGGGGTAGTAGTCTTAACTTAGGAAGGAATAAACAAAATTTCTCTCCTTGCCTGAATAGAATTCAAAGGGTATTTCCAACTCCTTATTGTAGTAGGATTCCTTCTTCTTTAAGAATTTGGTAACAGATTTCTTCTTTATATAAGGAATTCAATCACAGTCTTATGTTGCCTATTTCTTTCTCTCCTTTTTTTTCCCTTTCTTTTTTTTGCGTCTTCCCT